TTCCAGTGGGGAAAGGGACTGTTTTATGTTTCTTGTGGGTGAAAGGGACTGTTTTGAGTTTCTTGTGGGGTAAGGGACTGTTTTAAGTTTCTTGTGGGGGAAGGGACTGTTTTAAGTTTCTTGTGGGGGAAAGGGACTGTTTGAAGTTTCTTGTGGGGGAAAGGGACTGTTTTAAGTTTCTTGTGGGGGGGAAAGGGACTGTTTTAAGTGTATTGTGGGGGAAGGGACCGTTTTAAGTTTCTTGTGGGGGAAGGGACTGTTTTAAGTTTCTTGTGGGGGAAGGGACTGTTTTAAGTTTCTTGTGGGGAAGGTACTGTTTTAAGTTACTTGTGGGGGAAGGGACTGTTTTACGTTTCTTGTGGGGAAGGGACTGTTTTAAGTTTCTTGTGGGGAAGGGACAGTTTTAAGTTTCTTGTGGGGAAGGGACTGTTTTAAGTTTCTTGTGGGGAAGGGACTGTTTTAAGTTACTTGTGGGGGAAGGGACTGTTTTAAGTTTCTTGTGGGGGAAGGGACTATTTTAAGTTTCTTGTGGGGGAAGGGACTGTTTTAAGTTTCTTTTGGGGGACAAGTTTCTTGTGGGGGAAGGGACTGTTTTAAGTTTCTTGTGGGGGAAGGGACTGTTTTAAGTTTCTTGTGGGGGAAGGGACTGTTTTAAGTTTCTTGTGGGGGAAGGGACTGTTTTAAGTTTCTTGTGTGGGAAGGGACTGTTTTACGTTTTTTTGTGGAGAAGGGACTGTTTTAAGTTTCTTGTGGGGGAAGGGATTGTTTTAAGTTTCTTGTGGGGGAAGGGACTGTTTTACGTTTTTTTGTGGAGAAGGGACTGTTTTAAGTTTCTTGTGGGGGAAGGGACTGTTTTAAGTTTCTTGTGGGGGAAGGGACTGTTTTAAGTTTCTTGTGTGGGAAGGGACTGTTTTACGTTTTTTTTGTGGAGAAGGGACTGTTTTAAGTTTCTTGTGGGGGAAGGGACTGTTTTAAGTTTCTTGTGGGGGAAGGGACTGTTTTAAGTTTCTTGTGGGGGAAGGGACTGTTTTAAGTTTCTTGGGGGGGGGGGGGGGGGAAAGGGACTGTTTTAAGTTTCTTTCAGAGTTTTGGTCTTGTTGTGATAGGGTTAAGAATTGAGCGGGTAGTTCATTTGCTGCATTAGATATAAGGTCGTGGTTTAGACCTTAGCCCTTGTAGTTTATACCTGCTGTTATGCCCTGTTTGACACTTTTACTTCAGTAGTTTGTACCTAAAAAAGGTCCTGATTGAGACCTTGGATTTTGTAGTTTGTATAAGAAGTTAGACCTTAAGCAGACTTCAAGAAAAATTAAGGTCCTGGTAATTTCCTTGTTTAATTTGTACCTCTGGCTAGTTAGATCTCTAGCTAATCAGGATTCCGGCTAGTCAGATCTCCGGCTAATTAGCTTTCCGGCTATTCAGGTCTCTGGCTATTAAATTTCCGGCTAGTTAAATCTCCGGCTAGTTAAATCTCCGGCTAGTCAGGTCTCTGGCTAGTCAAATCTCCGGCTAGTCAAATCTCCGGCTAGTCGAATATCCGGCTAGTTAAATCTCCGGCTAGACAAATCTCCGGCTACTCAGCTCTTTAGCCAGTCTATCACGTAAAATATAAAAATTAGCTAACCTTCTTTGATTTTCGCTTGTTAAGCTGACAACGACGTAACAAAAGACTTAACACTTCCGTGTTTAAAGTAAATTTTGTTTAGCTGAGCATTGTTGTTTAAAAATTTCTAATGGTGTATGTAGGAGGGGGGAGGGGGTTGTACTTTCAGGGAATGAGGTCGAGCTAACCTTACATACACCAGCTCTTAACCTCACCTCTATCTCATCACTACCTCATTTTCTATCTCTTCATTCTCAACCGCCACCTCCATCTCAGGTTAACCTTATCTCTACATAATTTCTACATCATCTCTCTCTTATTTCTACCTCTGGCTCATTATATTATCTCTACAGTCTCAACCTTATCTCTACATAATTTCTAAAGTCTCTCTCTCATTTCTACCTCTGGCTCATTATATTATCTCTACAGTCTCAACCTTATCTCGGCCTCCAGTGTTTCTTTCAGACATTTTGCTCCAGGGGTGGGGGAACACTTGAAACTTCCGTGGGGGGGAGGGGGGGGGGTTGACAGAAAACATGAAACAACGCAGACAAGGTGGTTGGGCGTACAATGGTTAATGTATAGATTTTTTAAATTTAATTTTACCTAGTCCTTGGGGTGGGGTGGTGGACGGGTGGGGAAGGGGGGGGGGGTCACCAGCTCCCCAGAGACGCCTGAAAAAGAAACCGCTCTCTACCTTGTTCCTCCCTCCTCTCAACCTCATTATTTTATCGCTAGATACACAACCTTATCTCTACTTCACACTTTTCTAATGTTTATCTGATCTCCACCTCATTGCTACCTCTCCTTTACCTCACTCAACTCTTACCTCTTCTGTATTTAACCCAGAGGCGTAGCGAGGTGGGGCGGGGGGGGGGGGGGGACCGGACCCGGGCGCCGACCTTAGGGGGGGCGCCAAATTTAAAGTTTGAGGGGGGGGTGCAAATGAAAAGTTCGAGGGGGGGGGGTGCAAATCGAAAGTTTGAGGGGGGGGGGGTGCAAATGAAAAGTTCGAGGGGAGGGGGTGCAAATCGAAAGTTTGGGGGGGGGGGGGGTGCAAATGAAAAGTTCGAGAGGGGGGGGGTGCAAATCGAAAGTTTGTCCCCGGGCGCCGGGAAGGGTCGCTACGCCTCTGATTTAACCCCTACCTCATTTCTACCTCCATGGACACTGTAACATTCTTCTGTTGTTTAGGGTCTTTCACAGGCTTTTTTTTTAATACTCCCAGCCTCCAGTCGTCATAACAGTCTACTCTCTCCTCCCCCACCCCACCCCCCCACCCCCGCCATGTGTGTGACGTCAGTTTTGGACTTTCGTTTGCTATCTAAAAAAAAAACAAATAAATACGCATTAATTATTCTTGTTTTGAATTTCAACGAAAATATTACAGAGTAAAGAAAGACAACTCTATCGCTAGCTAATCATCATCACCACTGTACATAGCAAGTAAACAAAAGCGTTCAAATCTGTCCTTAGGCCTAAATATACTTAGATTCTAGACCTAATTTAAAATGTCCACAATTAGCATACCTGAGGTTTTTATTTTTTCTCCATTTTTTTTGTTCTAATCAATGTTTGGAACTGAGTTAAAAATTTTAGAACTCAGTGAGAAAACCCCTGTCGAAACGCTCGAATCACCTCCCTTTCATATTATCCACAGGGAGTGTTTGGGGAAATTGGGAATTTTGGTATGGGAGTGGGGAAGGTTATGTTTACATGTTTTTAAAAAGTATTATGTAGTAAGTTGGAAATAAAGCGTTTTTGCTTAGAGTTTGTAAACAACAACAGATTTTTTAAAAACAATTTTCAAGGCCTCAAGTACTAAAACAACTGAAAAGACAAACTTCATAATTAATAATTTATTATGAAACTATCCAGGGAGGCTACAATGAAAATAGAAATAATTTGACGCACAACGTAGTTCCTTCCCTTTACAATGACATCATTGTGCAGGTATTTTTTCTTTCTTTTTTCTTTTTTAAAGTGACTTGAGTTAGGGTTAGGCTTCAATTTAAGAAAACCAAGGCTTTCGTAATGACTATGATAACGTATGTAATGATTATAGGTATAATTATAGGTATACCTGTATAAAATAGCAAATATAGTCGATGTTTTTTGTAAGGTAACACTATTTCAATGAAACGAAAAAATAGGTGTTCTTCAAATTTAAAATAAATAAATACATTTTTTAAATAAACTACTAAATATTTTTTTTTATAGGTTAGATTTTACACATATATTTTTCATGAGAAGCGACTTGGGTTAGGGCTAGGCTAAAATTTATATATATATATATATATATATATATATATATATATATATATATATATATATATGAGAAAGCTAGGATTAAGTTAAGGACCATGATACAGGAAATAGATGCGTTCAGAAAATTGTCAAGGGAGTTAATAAACAAATTGAGGTCAAAATTTTCTACAATGATTCTTATAAAAAAATAAGCGTTATGTGATAGAAAAAAAACCTACTAATTTGAAATAACAGGGAAGTCAAAAAGATATCCGAAGTGCAACGAAAACACAACATATATAAAAGTGATATAAATTTCTTAGTGTGGAAACATTTTATTAAGTAGGATACACGTAAAAAATGAAATAAGCACGTTTTTAAAGACATAAAAATTTCTAATTATATTAAAACATCATTATAAGAAGTAAAAGAAATGTAATTGGCATTTTACAAAGGTTTAAAATAAAGACATGCATGAGTAATTTATTTTAAAAGAATAATTGGAAGGTTTGGTTTTAAAAATTAAAATATTTAAATGTACAATTTAATGTGTGAAAGTTAATAAACTTCCAAATGCAACATTATTTTAAAATGAAAAATAATTGACATTTAAAACAAAACATTTTAAAAAAGTAAATTGAAAATAATTATTTTTTATTACAACGTAACATATTTTTAAAATTGAGATTGTTTAATGGGTGCAAGAAGTACGTATGATGCATTCAAATCCATTATTTTAAAAATTGGCATTGAAATATAACAATTTTAAAACTTAAAAAATACATAATTAACAAAATATAACAATTATGTAGTTTAAAAAATGGAATTATAACAAAACATCCTTGTACTCTCAATGTTCCATTGGTGTGAGAATATCATATATGGAATATAGTGCATTCAATTACAGCATTAATTTTAAAATTATCGAAAATTGGCAAAAATATAACATTTTTAAAATTTGAAAAAGTACAAAAGTAACGAAAATTGGCATTAAAATAAAACATTTTTATTATGAAACAATTATATCATTAACAATATTTGGCATTAAAATATTATAAAATTAACATTGAAATATATCACAAAACATATTAAACATATTTTTAATCAGAATTTTCTGTGTGTAAGATGTAAAATATAGCATTACTTTAAAATTAACAATAACTGGCATTAAAATATAATACATTTGTAAAATGAAAAAATATATAATTAACAATAATGGGCATTAAAATAAAACATTTTGGTAAAACGAAAACACATATAATTAACAATAATGGGTATTAAAATATAATAATTTTGTAAAATGAAATATATATAATTAACAATAACGGGCATTAAATTTACATTTTGGTAAAACGAATGGATTTGAGAAACTCGGGTTGTAACTACTTGTGTGAACCACGGCCACAGTTACTTGATAAAGAACATGTAAACCAGGACCACAATTACTTGATGAAGAACATGTAAACCACTGCCACAATTACTTGATGAAGAACATGTAAACCACGGCCACAGTTACTTGATGAAGAACATGTAAACCACGACCACAGTTACTTGATAAAGAACATGTAAACCACGGCCACAGTTACTTGATGAAGAACAAGAAAGAGAACACTACCACGGCCACAGTTACTTGATAAAGAACATGTAAACCACGGCCACAGTTACTTGATGAAGAACAAGAAAGAGAACACTACCACGGCCACAGTTACTTGATGAAGAACAAGAAAGAGAACACTACCACGGCCACAGTTACTTGATAAAGAACATGTAAACCACGGCCACAGTTACTTGAAGTAGAACAAGAAAGAGAACACTACCACGGCCACAGTTACTTGATAAAGAACATGTAAACCACGGCCACAGTTACTTGAAGTAGAACAAGAAAGAGAACACTACCACGGCCACAGTTACTTGATGAAGAACAAGAAAGAGAACACTACCACGGCCACAGTTACTTGATAAAGAAGAGGAAAGAGAACACAACCATGGCTAGGGAGCCCGAGGCCATGCAGTAGTACATTGGGACCCAGACACTTCCGGTGGCGTCGATGAGGGGGCCCATGATGATGGAGACGATGATGTAGTGGCAGGGGATGAGGAACCCAATCAACGTCATCAGCCGGCTCACGTTGAGAACTGGTTTTGTTGAGTCCTCCTAAAGGGGGGGGGGAATGTTTCAGATAAATTCCGGGGTGTCGTTATAACATATATGAATATATATATATATATATATATATATATATATATATATATATATATATATATATATATATATATATATATATATATATATATATATATATATAAATACGCCCTATGTATTTAAATGTCAGCCTTCATTTTTACCCGGCATGGAAAATAATTTATTCCTTATTGCAGGGTATTCAATAAATTTTACTGACGGGCGAGGATTGTTTTGATGCGTGTTGTACCACATTTTTCTTCTAGTTTTGGAAGGTATCCCCTCCAACACAATAAAGTATTACGTGTCAACTTGATATACGCCATATAGAACGTTGACTCCGATTTCAGTCTGCTTTTCTTTTTGGATTTGCTTCCATAGTCTTTGTCCAACCAAGAACAAACTACGAGGCAGCAGTTATTTGATTTTGGAGTTGTCTCTCCTAGAAGAGTGGCTGTCCCCAGCTGTCGAGCCTCGTCTGCCCGAGGGTTCCACCTCGAGACTTTTCGATTTAGCAACTATGAATGAGCTCTAACCGACTCGACCACTATACCACATTAAATATTACATTTTCCAGTGTATTAATATACTCTAAGTATAAACACTGACTTGCCCGTGAACAGAATCCTACTTTGCCCTACAGCCCACCACGGGCTATCCCTTGCTTGACCCCAGTGTTTCTTTCAGGCATCTCCCCCTCCCCCAAAGCAAATATATCATTCCCCCCCCCCCCCGTACCGAATAGAAAAAATATATAATTTATATACAAAATATATACTTTTACCAGTATCCGCCTCCTCCCCCCCTCTGAAATATAAGACCCCCCCCCCCCCAATTGTAGGTGCCCCCGTTCCCCCAGCGGGGACGGAGTGGTCTAGCGGTAGAGAGCTGGACTGCTAACCAGTAAGTCGTGAGTTCGAATCCGAGTTCCAGTTAGTAGACCTCCCCTGAGTCCACCCAACTCTGATGGGTACCTAACTCACGTTAGGGAAAGTAAAAGCGGCTGGGCCTAGTGCTGACCACACTATCTCTTCATATGCTGAGGTCACAGAAACAAGTGAACTCTACTTCACTTGCCCTACTGACCGTCAGGTTTGAAAGAGAACTTTACTTACTACTATGACTTTACTTACTACTTACGTTCCCCCCGCACGCACTTTGAGACCTTACCTGAGTGAACTTGTTGGCCAAGATGAAAGGGATGGTGTAGACGCAGGATCGAAACGCCCCAGCACAGATCATGAAGATGAAATAGGCCACCGGCTCTCGCAACACGAGGAGAACACCCAGTGAAATCAGGAGAAATCCGCCCAGCAAAATGTACTGGATTTTCTCCCCTGAAAAGGAAAAAAAAAAGCCGGTTAAACCCGAAAGAAAACACAGAGGTATCCAATAGGAAATGCAAACCCGAAAGTCTCTATTTCGAATACTGGTTAAAGTCAGTAGAACGTCCCTGTCCACCCAGCTCTTTTAGATACCTAACTCACGTTAGTGAAAGTATAGGCGGCTGGACTATACTATTCCTTCATATGCCGAGGTCACAGAAACAGGGGAACTCTACTTCACTGCATGGACTGTCATGTTTCAAAAGGGAACTTTATTTTTAGGAAATAGAGCCGGACATGAAGCCGGACATGGAGCTGGACATGGAGCTGGACATGGAGCCGGACATGAAGCCGGACATGAAGTCGGACATGAAGCCGGACATGAAGCCGGACATGAAGCCGGACATGAAGCCGGACATGAAGCCGGACATGAAGCCGGACATGAAGCCGGACATGAAGCCGGACATGCAACTGGTATTTAAAACCTTACGGGGATTAACTTATATTTTGTTATTCTAAATACAGTCAGATATGTTTGCTACCCCCCCCCCCCCCAATCTGTCTTCAAAACTTTTGTCCCCCCTAGATGTACTCACCTAGGATGTCAATAATCTTTTTATTGCAGACGCTGACGGCCATGTAGGTAATGTAGTGCATCAGGTTCCCCTGGGCAGACTTGCGCAGGCCGTACTCGTACCGGTCGTAGCCGGGGGTGCCCGGAAGCGCCGTGGGCTCGCCCTGGTAGATACCGACCGTCAGGCTGTTGGCGGCGTACACGGCGAAACACATGGCGCTGCCGATGGCGAAAAAAGTCGCAACCACCAACACGGCGATTTTCTTTGTTGAACTGCTCATTTTTCTTTTCGGGATTATTTTTTCCGCGTTATTTTGATTACCATCGAGTTTTTTGGAATGAAGTTCCTCAAAAGGTTTTTGAGAAAGGCGGGTTTTTGCAAAAGGTGCCATTTCGGAGACTTCTTGGGCGTACGGTTGTTTGGACTCATTCTCTGAAAAGCTGCCTTGACGTATATATTGAATGGCGGAGTATGAATCTGTATCTTGTTTTTGCAGGAGGGGTTTCTTGAGCTCTTCCTTTTCTCCGGGGTTGTACAAACGCTTCAATTTTTTATTCACCTGCGGTATTTGCGGAACTTTGAATGTCTTTTCTGAATCAATCTGCGGGGGATTTTTTATCGACTGTGATGTTTTCAGTCTGTGCTGTAAAAAATAACCGGTCGAAATGGTGGACGTGTAGCAGAACAACACCACCGCGAACAACAGGAAACAGAAGAACAAGAGGGTCGCAGCGACGCCTTCGACGTGGAACAAATCTTCTAAAATGTGCGGCATGTCGAAACAGCCGATCATAGAAAAAATAGTCCCGGCGATAGATTGCGCCACGGTGGCGGTGATGAGGAGCCTGGTTTGCTGGGACGGCGGAGTGATATCTACAATTAAAGCGCGGGTGATTGACACGCTTAAATCAAATCCGATATCGAGCATGGTGAAACCCAAGATGGACAGAAACACCGTCACTGGGAGGTGGGCGTAGTCGACGGCGTCAGAGGAAGTGACGTTTAAAAATGGGACGGGGTCTGTTGTGTTGATGATGTCTGTTGGTGGTAGAGTCTGGTTGGAGTTTGCAGACGATGAAAGTTTGTTGAAGAGGGCGAGTTTGATGAAACCGCAGATGATGAGTAGGGAGAGACCGCACAAGAACACGATCATCCCCAAACTTATAGCAAACAGTTTGCGCTTCTGGAGAAAATATTAAAAAAAAATAGTTTTATTCTTCACACAGTTGAAAAACCTTAATAAGCAAACCAAACATAAATAAATAAATAAATAAATAAATAAATAAAATATAGGTTTAAATAATAAATGTATAATTGTTTTTCGGAGATTACAAAAAATATGTATGGCTTATTAATACAGTTGAGTGAATTCAATGGTTAGTTTCTCTTATCTGATTTAACTCGGAAGACATCTTGGCTCTATTCAGATGCCATTGACGTATGCTTAAATAGCAAACAATGTGTACAAAAAGTGTTGCTATGTCCAATGTTATTATTATTTCTTACGGGCGCCGAACTCATGTTCTGGTTACGTGGCGTGTGCTTTGACTGCTAGACCACGCCGTTCAAACTAGCGGTCCACAAGCAATATAAAAAGATAGAGTGGTCAGCTCTATGCCCAGCCGCCTTTACATTAGCTGGGATAGTGTGGTCAGCACTACGCCCAGCCGCCTTAACTTTCGCTATCGCAAATTAGTTACCTATCTGAGCTGGGTAGTCCGAATGACATCCTGCCGACGTATCCGAGATCCAAAATTAAATCTTCCGGGCTAGCAGTCATGCGCACTATTGCCAGACCTCGCAATGAGCCATGAATTATCTTTTATGTGTTTCTCTATGACATGCGTTAGTTTGATGAGCTACATTTCAATATTATTTAAACAACGTGAATTAGACTGTGCTACCTTGGGATTCGATCCCCGGTCCATCAGAACACTGAGTGTTGGTAGGGTGATCATACTGGTGGCGCCACACACAATCCCGCTCACAGAGATGAGGGAGATAGGGACGTACAAGTACTGCATGCTGAGAGTGAGTAATTTATGATGGTATTAGATGGGGAAGTAAAATACAAATACTGTATACTAGAAGTGAGTAAATCATGCTGGTATTAAATAGGGACGTAAAATATAAATACTGTATGCTTAAAATGAATATTTTATAATGGTATTACATGGGGACGTACAAAATTAGTGTATACTAGAAGTGAGTAATTCGTGGTGCGTAAAATACAAATACTGTTAGCTAAAAGTCAATATGTCATGATGGTATTAGATAAAGACATACAAATACTACATTCTGGAAGTATTTCATAATGGTATTATATGGGGACGTACAAGTACTGTTGGAAGTAAATATTTCAAGATGGTATTAGACAGGGAGTTTCAAATACCCCCTCCCTTCATTGACATGTCTGAAAGAAATCCACCAAGCAAGGCCAAACTTACATGAGGATCAGGTAAATCTGCTCAAACGACATGCACATCTCTGTCGCGAACAGCGCGGCCACCAGCAGAAACTGCGCACACACCGGGATGTCAGGCCCAGCATTTCCGGTCTGGGCATCTACCAGACGACTTGACGTCTGCCTGTACAGCTGCTGGCGGAGGATGACAGAGGAGGCCTGGATGGACTGAGACAGTTCTAAAGCCGCCATCTTGAGACTGGGTAAGGCTCAAGTTGTTTCCTAGAGGTCTAACTCTACTCGACTCTGAACGGCATTAGGTCTTTGGTACACGAACCAGCAAGACGAAAGTAAAATAACTTCAGTAAATTGAATGGTTTTTTTTTTTCAATAAATCCTTTACCAATTATCCGCAAACAAGAGCTTGCTGTTGAATACTTCTGAGACAAAATTTAAAAAAAAAAAACGTATTACAAACCTATTGAAATAAAATCTCATGAAAACCTAAGGTCTGAACATCTTATTTATGTATTTTCTTGTCTTCCATATATATATATATATATATATATATATATATATATTATATATATATATATATATATATATATATATATATATATATATATATATATATATTTATTTATATATATACTTACTCGAATCAACAACAGAATCAAAGCTAAATGAATACACTACTATTATACCATCAAGTACTAAAATGGTATCTAGATTATCTCTGACACATTACGCCACAGTTACCAAATATATAGGCCTACCTATTTTTTTCTCCCAAAAATTCTTAATGAACCTGCGCCGTTGAAAAAAAAAGTCCCCTGACCATTACACCAGCACGTATGACGTGATTCAGCATGTCACGTTCCAAAACCTGACTGTACGGGTCCAGTCGACTCGCTGGATCCAGTTTTAATCGCTGGTTCCAGATGGAATAAAAATAAATATTTTTAAATCAGTCACTTGAGGGGAACGTGCTGATTCGAAGTGTTGTGATAACTTGTTGTAGAAATGTAGACAAAAGTAAATACAAAAGTAAAAAAAAAAATTGTGTCGATTTAGGATCTGTGGAAGTTCTTGCTGCAATAACATCACTCGTGGTGAACTCATTGTTACCCTGTGTTTTTGAGCACAAGTTGAAGGGCTGGGGTGGTCTGGCCTCAGGGGCGTAGCGAGGGGGGGGGGGGGCGGGGGGTGCGGACCGTACCGGGTGACACCATTTAGGGGGATGACACCAAGGCAAAACATAGCAAAATATATAGAGAAAAACTTGAGGGGGGGGGGGGTGCAAATCGAAAGTTTGAGGAGGGGGGGGGGGTGGAAATCGAAAACTTGAGAGTTTGTCCCCGGGAAGGGTCGCTACGCCTCTGGGGGGTGACGCCATTAAGTGCCGCACCGGGTGATACCCGACCTCGCTACGCAACTGTCTGGCCTACTAGTCTACCAAGGATAAAAACCATGTCTCCCCCCCCCTATGAAAAATCTTTGTAGGCCTCTTGTATTATGGCTTTGAATTTTAAAAATAAATAACTTTTTTTTTCTAAATTTGACAGTATATACTCCTGCATACGGAGCAGTAAATTCGAGGTGTGATGGAGAAAAAAAAATGCTCAATGAAAATTAAATTTCAACCTGGTTTAGAGGGCCCCTATGGAAACCTCCCGGGCCTCTTGGACACAGCTAGTCCACCCCCGTTGAGGGGTTGTTGGTATAACTCGTGGTAATTCAACAGTATACCACCCACAGGATGTCTTGATATGGGTCACGTAATTTACTGTCAGTCCTTATAGTTCCCATGGCAATAATTAATTGTTATCTGGGTATGGTAGACGTATAAGAATTGACGCGTGTTTTAATTAGATCACTAGCATCAGCTGTCGACCGTGTAAAATGATTTTTTTAAAAGCCTATATGGGATGGGTTTGATAGGTGTGGTAGCTATTGTTTTGTTTGGTCTTGTTTTTACTTTGAGAGAAGTTACTGACAGAAACCACCACGAAACCACGCTCCGCGGGTGGGGTAAGGACAGTAGAAGATGAGGCAAGCTTAGGTAGACGCAAATAAAGAGAGCCGCTCAAACCCGAGTCCCATAGAGAGGCGTGGCTCTTTGCTCCCCAGGAGACTGGTAAAGTCAATATTTTCTATATAAACTCTGTTTTCGTTCTGAAAAATGCATGGAAAGTAAAGACGGCTGGGCACAGAGCTGACCACTCTAGCCCTTCAAAGGACGATATCACCGTGATCGATAGCTAGGTCTGAAAAAGTATACACACATTTCTAATGAAGCCCCACCCCTCCGTCACCCCAAACATATAAGGCCCTAAATAGAAAAATATGTCCCCTGGTCCCCTGGGGAGTCATGACTGCGTCCCATCATATTGAACAGTGGAACTACGTCACTGTATTTGGTATACACCCTGCGACACTAATCATAGACATTTCATATATTTCGTAGTACATATAAGCAATGTTTCTTTCAAATATTTTTCGACAAGAAAGGTGGGGGGGGGGGTGGACAATGGAAAAAGTATTTACTATCTATATTTTTCTATTTCGTCGGATGGACGGGGGGGGGGGGAGGTATTGGATGTGCTTCGGGGCAGTGGCGTAGCGAGGTCGGGTCTCACCCGGTGCGGCACTTAATGGTGTCACCCCCCAGAGGCGTTGCGACCCTTCCCGGGGACAAACTTTCAAGTTTTCGATTTGCACCCCCCCTTCAAACTTTCGATTTTCACCCCCCCCCCTCAAGTTTTCGATTTGCACCCCCCCCCTCAAACTTTCGATTTGCACCCCCCCCCCTCAAGTTTTTCTCTATATATTTTGCTATTTTTGCCTTGGTGTCACCCCCCCCCCTAAATGGTGTCACCCGGTGCGGTCCGCACCCTCCGCCCCCCCCCTCGCTACGCCCCTGCTCCGGGGAGATGCCCACCCC